TGAACTCCTTAATATTTGAGATTAGGTATCCATAATCACAAAAATTATACTTTACTAGAGCTGTAAGTTGTAGAAAATACTTTTCGTTTCATTGATCTTTCACTATGTTTACATACATAAAGTGCGTACCTACATTTGTATATATATATGTGAGTATTTTGTATACGTATATATGATAATATATGCCAATAATTATATGAAAAAAACGACATGACTAAAAAAATCGCCTAAACTACACTTGTCAAAACTTCTCATTAACATAATCATAATAAAAATTATATAATTTCATATGCTGTATTTTATTAAACAGAATATTAGTTATTATTATGTTTGTTAATACCTACGTAATCTTTAAAAGTATATTCAAATAATACGTGCCCATACAATACCTACTTAAATAGTTGAATATTTTTATTTTAATACAACGAGATTTAAATATCAAAAAAATACACTGTACGAAGTTTTACTTGAGTATAAAATATATGACAGGCTATCATTTAAGAGATTAAAGCTCAAATATTTAAAACTAGATAAATAGTAAAAAACACGTAGTTTGAAACCAGTTTTAAATATTATTATATCATTTCCATTGTATTTATTAGAGACTGATGTTCGAATAGGAAACTAAGATCACAATTTTCCTTACCTACTTTTCTTACCGTTTTATAGATTGGCAACATTGTTTGAGGAATGATAAATTGATCCGAAAATTATACATAGTGACAATATCATTAATGAGATGAGGCGAGTAGTTAAAATAAATCAATTCTCTTTATTTGTTTGAATTACAAGTGGTTTTTATAATACTCTGTAAAATAATTTAGTTTCTTATTTTAAAAATAATATTTTTGATAATGATTACTGTCTTAATTACATATATAATTTATAATCGTACGTAATAAATTTAAATAATATACAAGGTCAATAACTATATCATTACTTTGTTAAATAATTTCTAAAATAATTGTGGAATTATAGAATAAATAAAATCTGTTACTATACTATACTGCTACTTTTAAAAGGGAAACATAAATCATCATAAATAAAAGAGAGATTAAGCTATCTACGGATTTATCGTATTTTAGCCAATAATCGTGTTTCATAGAATTTAGACATATTGTGATAAATGTATAAGTAGATAACTGAGCATAAGGTACATATATTAATTGTTATCGAAATTAGTTTTATACGTTTCTCATTTTGATAAAAATCAATCAATTGAATTTGTTTTTGAAACACTGTTAATCCTAATTGAATATTTTATTAACTTATATGAATTGTTGTATACTGTAGTGCTCTTATATGTAACTGAAAGTGCAACCAAGCTAACGGCCTACTAGATCGTTGGTGCTATCACAAACATCACGTCATCAGGTGTCACTGTATACTCATCATGCGTTCCTAACGATTAATGCCAACGAATATATTACATACCAAAAACAACTTAGAAAGTAAGCTGCCAGCGGCACAATTAAGTGAGATAAAGGTACGCAGACGACTTTGCACAAAGACTACCTCGGTATACGCAATAATATACATTATTATGAGCATTACGTTTATCGAATCAACAAAACCAAAGTTGTAATTGATAATGAGTTTCATAGAGTACCATTCATTTGTTATTCTCTCATTTTACAATGTAATTTTCATACTGTATAATGTTGCAATGAAAATTCAGTCGAGCGAGATTGTACCGATAGTCCGATAACAACTATAATCGGACAATGACCTCAACGTTGGTCATTCATAAACTTCGGTTTACATATATTAGCTTCTTGAATATGTACTGTATGATGTACCGTCAGCATGTACACTACGTACGTCTGTCATATCTATTCGTATTTACATTAGTGAAGTGATTTTTATTTTTTAACCTGCATTAACCGTCATCATTATTTAATGTGTCATGACTGTATGTCAATTGAAATTATTGAATTTGATATTGTTATATCTCTATAGATGTCGAAAAATATGTAATTTAGTAATAGTATCTATATAATATTACTAAATTACATATATTTCTAATTAACCGATTCATAGTTTCTTTTTTTCTAGGCTTCAGTTAATTAAAGCAGTCTCGCGTATTTAACACAATAATTTATCGATAAACAGCTACAATTAATGTTACTTGTGCAATGTGCAATGTAAAAAGAAGGACAAATAGAGATGTTGCCATATTAGATTCATCCATGTTTGCAATCAGTTAACTATACTGATTAATTATAATACGTACATTTTAATTGTAGACTTTTTATCGAAGGGACCTATTAACTCTCTGTGTTGAAGATTCTTTTTTATATATATATAATTGAAATCGTCAGTATAGAAAAAAAGATTAAGCAAGCCGATCTTCCACCTGATGATAAGTGGTAACCGTCGTCTATATACTTAGGATTAATCATGTGTTATCCGTAATATTATTTACGAGTTACTATTCCGAAGAACATCATTATATGTAACGTATATACTTGAACGATGTTACCGTATGGACTTGAAAGAAATAAATATTTCAGAGCAATTTTTTGAAACTGCAGTTTATGTTTTATGCACTAGTTCACAGAGCAAAGAATTGCATAGCCGTAAATTTATTGAGGAATGTCAAACAAAAGTGAAATTTCATGTGTCGGCTTCTCTTCAAAGAGAAACGTTTGCCGTGGCGACTCGAGATTATGTTGTCTTTACAAAATTAGCCTTCGTCTATTACGTAGTTGGGCAATGTTTGCGCACTTGACTAGTTTCGAAAGAAATTTCGACCCTGTTTACATAACGCAACATGGATATGGGAATATTAATTAATTGACACTTGATTGCTATTAGTAAAATATTTGTTTATTGCTGTAATGTACAAAGATATCACAAATGCAGTTGCAGATAGCAGCAAATAGTAAATAGGCGATGAATATTTAACCGACTTCTAGAAGGTTATCAGTTCAATTTCTTTGTCTTTGTATTTTTTGCACTTATATGACAAATTTTCATCAGAATAAATTTTGATTATTCTTAGTCAACAGGATTTACTGTCATGTTTATTTAAGACTAAATTTGCTAAGTTACGTTAAGTTTTTGCGAGAAACTGATACATATTTATTTTACTATAAACCTCTATCTGTTTTTAATTACAATATTTAATCAAATTATTCTTACCCGTATGATATAAAAATGTAACGAAAATTAATGATACTATTACAAAAAATCTCTTATATAACTAAACGCTCTTATCTGCCATTATAATTTCTATCCTATCACTTTCTCGCACTCTCACTCACTTATCATCAAAATTATAACGAATTTATGTTCTCGATACACCGTGCTTGGATTTCAAAGTATTTTTATTTCTTTTAATGTTAATTGAAATGACATGGGTGGTGTCACGGGGAACGTGTTTAAGTACTTACCTTTTTATTAATTCTTTTTTTTATTGAAGTTCCATCGATTTTGGACACCGAATTCCATTTAACATTAACTTTCCTCTTTTATATCTTTAATCAATATGGCAGGTTTACATGACGATTAAAACGAGATTATTATCTTGTAGTTTATAATTGATTACTATCTGAAATAATCTAATATAAGATCTGTATATATAACAAGTGAAGTTTTATAAAAAACAGACAGAAAAAAGTTTCTATTGTATCTTATTATATAATCCTATTTTCTTTGTAGGTACTGCACCTATCGTAGAATAATATTTTTTTTTATAAATATATGTTACAAACTATGTGTAAAATTAACTAAAATTGTGTAAAATCAATTATACGAATGTAAACAAGTCATCGAATAAGGTATAAACTTTCTCAATTATAACATTTATAAAAAAGTAACATGATGTGTTAGTTTATAACTAGTTTTAAATTTTAATAATACAAGTACTCATTCATTATAAGTAATACGCCTAATTTCAAGGTACCTATGATAATCGTATTATATCACACAACATAATTAGTTAACCTGTTACTACATATGCATATGTGGTATATATTATTCTATTTAATATTGCGCGTTTTTATAATCTAATATATTTATAACTGTAAATAAATATATTAAAAAAAATAGTTGAAAGATATTTATTTCAAAGACAAAAAAAATGCAAATACATTAAATATAGATACGAATAATAGGAATACATAAAATTATGACCGCATACTTAACAATTCGTTTACACAGAATACCAATCTCTGGTAGACTTCTGATAAAATTCTAAGTTGGCTTCCAGCAACATGTAAACCAATCCCTTTTTAAGTATAGAATATCTAACCTCCAGCAATAAGTTAATATTTATCACCTTTTTATTTTTATATTTTATTAGTGTTCAAATATCATTAACGATTATTTCATCGTATTCTACATCACGGTCTCTCTCTAACATATTAGTAATTGAATTTATTATTCAGTGGAATCAAGCGGCGTGATTCAAACGAAAAAATATGCACCCTGGGTGTAGGAATTACCATAAGCGGGAGTAATGATTGGAAATTCCACAGATATTTGCTTTCTATTTAATAATCTGTGCACTTATGAGTCAATTAATTCGTAATATCCCAGGAGGCCGAGAAAGTTGGTTAATCGATTCTGTTTACTATCTACGATGAGTATTTTCGTCCTTCTCAAAGTTAATAATTTAGAAATTCAGTTGAAATATTCTACTTAATATTCAAAACCTTTATATAAATTTTAATTGTGATCTATATGATTATATTATTTGTAAAAATAAAAAAAGTCTATGATTGTTTTATGTATTACCGGCGCTAAATACATAAAATAAAATAACAGTTTTGATATTTCATTTCATATTCTGTAGATTTGAAAGGATTTGACAGTTTATAGTTCATATCGTTACCTCGGCAAGAATCATCTTGTATTTGTAAAACATACAATGTTAAATCCTGTTATGTGTTAGTTATTATCAACATTAAAATATTTCACAACTTTTATTATCACACTTAACTTAAGCCAAAGTGAATTTTAAAAGGTTTATAAGTTATAATTTTGTTTGGTTGCAGCGAATCTCACCATCAGCACACGTGGCTTCAGTCTAGAACTGCTCATCCACTCACCCATCCAGGACATGTACCTGTGCTTCAATCGATCCAAGCTGGTCGGCAGGCGATTGGTTAGTATTCTGTGTATACTAGAGAATAGTATAAATAAAATGTAACTGTAAACAAAGTATACAGTATACTTTGTTTACAGAGATCGTTTACATATTAATACGTCTTTATTAATTTAAAAATAATCTGTAACGAAAATTTTTATTATATTTTAATCTATCTACTCAGTGTAATATTTAGGATCAGAAATTATAGGTAAAATGTATATTAAAATACAATTACCTCTATCATGGGATGATAGTAACAACAGGATAGATATGTAGATAATTATTTATATTCCCTATATATATATTTAAAGAAATGTCTTTATTATACTCTTATTACGAAAGATTTATGACTACGATAATAGATTCCAATGATGATGATGTTATATTGTTGTGACCAGCACCGTCAATAACCATATAATCAATAAAAAATATTGTTCACAGACACGATTTCAAGCGGAGAGACAACCGAATTGTTTATTCAAAGAAGAATTTGTAAACGGCTACAACAGATATCACCTAATGAAAAACGAAGATCGCTACATAGGATTCAACAGGCGAGGCTTGCAATTACGTCGAGGGAAAAGCCGCCTTCCAGAGCGTGTGCACAAGTGCTTGGACTTCATGAAGGTGGCCCGTGGTGATGACTTTAACTTGGACAGGCACAATACCATGCTTGCAGGAGACTTACCGAAATGGCGGCCGCAGCGTAGACTCCGACCCCCGCCGCAGAACTCCATCAAGCCACCGTGTCACGGCGTCCGCCATCACCACGGCAGGTATCAGAGGCGAAAAAATTGTGACGGGACATAGGTTGTCGTCGTCGTTTCATCATCAGCTCATTTACGCTTCTACGCTTCGCGCGTTCTGTTGCCAGCTGTAGATGGACATTGTGAGTGGACAGAGTATTAGTCAACTATCGCAGTATTATTACAGTGACGAGGACTGGATAGCGTTAGGTTAGGTGAGCCGCGGTGGCCGCGGCGGCGGCGTCGGCCCGCATGAATGGTAGCTGATGCGAGAGAGCAAACATTTGAATGGGAGAAAAAGCCGAGCCGGGACGACCGACGTCCAGACCTGTGAAATTCCTTAAGCTCGTGTAACATCGTGGCACTCGTTTGCTCTTGTGCCTGCGGTCGAACTCGTGCTCTAAAAGGAAAAAAAAAGTTTTCTGTGGAAAGAGCAAATAGTAATCCCGCCAGTCACGAGTCTTCTGATAGACCACCGCTGTTGGTTCGTGGAGGTATCACCGGTACTGAAATCAGCTCTCGAGGAAGGAAAACATCTAGGTAGCGCGCGTAGCGCATTGTGTTTATATTACCTACGATTGTTCCGGTTGGCTCGCCATAAGTGTAGCAAAAAGGCCTTTGCGTCAATTCTCAGTGTGTTATTATTTAAAACGCTTTACTGTTAACTTAAGAACCGATCGTGTTACGCTTGTAAATATATTAAAAATAATTGTGTTTACTTATTTATCAAAAAAAAAGTTAATCAGAAATTTATAAACGTAGATCTTAGTTGTAAAATTGTATTAAAATGTTTTGTATTTAATTATGGGTATTTAATCTATCCTACCAACCGCTCTCTTGTGATTAGCCACAGTTGATATAACCTAGATTTCTTTAACTTCATATAATGAAACATTTCCTACTAACATTCATAATATGAATATTATTTTCTGTTCATGATTTTGATTGCATGGTTTCACGAGTTCTGTATATATTATTTTAAGAGTACGCCAGGGAGTGATAGATTTTTGAATCTCTCTATATTTTTTAAATCAGTTCGTACTGATTGATATTCTCGATTTATCATAATGGAACCCAATGATTTGTCGCCTAATTTTCCTAGATAACAATGCAAACATTTTGTAGTAATTCTATTGTACTAATAGCCATTCCTGCAATCCTATTAAATAGTGAACCTAATACCTAATGTTAATATATTAAGATCTGTGCCATAGTGTGGTGGCAGTGTACGACTTTGCGTTGGAAATGTAGTGTTTTAAGTTTGTCTGTAAACTATGAGTAGATAAAAATATATAACATAAGGCAATATATTAACTGAATTAAATTATTGTACTTCTCAAATCGGGATAAAAATAACATAACAGATGTAAAAACGGTTTAACATTTCACAAATTATTGTTCTTACCTATTTATTCCATTTAATGATACAGTAAAACAAATTGAAGTTAACGCTATTGATATGATTATATTGTTATTATTATCTCGATATGAAAATTATTACAAAATCAGTCAAACTAAATAGTAAATGTAATACTTTTTCTGTATACCATATATACTAGGTGTATAAATATGAAACCGGATGATTTTTGAAAAAAATTGTCGTTTATACTCTAGACACATAGGGGCGATTTTATTCGAAATATTTTCCTTCGTTAGCCACACAAGCCTCCCACCTCTCGGGCAATTTTCGAATTCCGCGGCGGAAGAATTCTTCACCTTTTGACCCGAACCAATTTACGACCCATTTTGACACTTCTTGAAAATTGGCGAAGCGGTGCTCAGACAATGCGTGGCCCATTGATGCGAAAATGTGATAGTCGGATGAAGCAAGGTCTGGAGAGTAGGGCGGGTGGGGTAAAATCTCCCAGCCGAGTCCTGCGAGCACTTCTTTTGTCGCATTTGTCCTGTGAGCCGGGGCGTTGTCGTGTAGCAAGATTTTTCCCTCGTGCCTTTCCTGCCATTCCGGGCGTTTTTCAAGCAGAGCTGCGGTCAAACCTCTCATTTGTTGTTGATAACGAACCTGGTCGACCGTCTACTCGAGCAGTTCGTAGTACACCAGACCCTTCTGATCCCAAAAAAGGCAAAGCATGGTCTTTTTTCCAAAACGATGTTGCTTCACTGCTGATTTCACCGAAGTACCTGGATCAACCCAACCTCTAGGTCGCTTAGGATTCTCGAAATAGATCCACTTTTCATCTCCAGTTACAATCCGGTGCAGAAATCCTTTCCTTTCGAACCTGGCAAGGAGCATCTGACAAGTGGTTTCTCGCCGCTGTATCTGTCTTTCGCTCAATTCATGTGGGACCCACTTCCCGAACTTGAGAATCTTTCCCAACGCCTTCAAGCGTTGCGAGAGGCACGGTTGGGTCACGCTGAGTTGCTCTGCAAGCATCTTCTGTGTCTGACAAGGGTCTTCTGTAAGCAGCGCTTGCAGCTCTTCGTCTTCGAACTTTTTTGAGGGCCTTCCACGCGGTTGGTTCGTTACGTCATACTGACCCGCTCTAAACTTCTTGAACCACTCAAAACATTGTGTGCGGCATAGGGCATGATCGCCGTAAGCTTCCACAAGCATTTGGTGACCTTCCTCGGCGGTCTTGTGTAAGAAAAAACAGAATAGAAGATTTCCCCGCTGAACCTCACTTGACGGCATGTACCCAGCCATTTTCGGCGGTAATATAAAAATTATCTAAATGCAAAAGTGGCGGCTTTTTGATTGGAACTCGTAGTCGGATTCCTCAACAACAACATACAATAAGTTTCAGCACCGTAAGCAGACCACAGCGATTTTGGCGGCACTTTTAAGAAAAATCCGGTTTCATACTTATACACCTAGTATATATATATATATATATACAAATATATACTCGTAATACTGTACATGTGAGTAGAACTGAATGTAACTAAATGTTGTTTTCTTCATATCTCGATGTTTCAGTGAATGCATGTTTGTCTTTATGGCAGTTTAATATTGTCGAATAAATGTTACTGGTACACTTTGTCAGTGTTAAAGTCGCTTTACATTCCTACTATATTCCATGTATACCTATCTATTTGCAGTTGAAGACGTTAAGACATTCCAAACAACATGTAAAACAAAATATGCGCTTAAATACATAATGAATTTTGTTATATAGTGACACTCTATTGTATTACTGTGTCTAATTATAAGTATTCAGACGCTGAACGAAATCGTGTAATGGCTAAGAAAAATTACGAAATTAAATATTTAACTCGCAATCTGTATTTTTTTTACTCTAATAATTCAAATTTTAAGACCATGCGTAAAGTTTGGTGATCATACCCAAATTCGGCATAAAATGTATAATACTGGGTTTTTTAGATGATGGAATAATGATTCCATCTGGCTTTATGGTGTACGCTGGAAGCATAAAAGGATGCGTTTGAAATGAGATCACTGAATCGAAATCGTATGGAACTTACCATGAATTAACAACAACGGTTAATTTATGTTAATTTCGACAAAAGATCCATAACGCTAGTTGTAATTAAATTAGATATATTAAGTGCTACAAAAACCCTAACTGCAAATCCATGACAATTTAAAGATCAATATGATTAATCAATATTAATATGATAATAGCATGTGAATAAAATCTATCAGTTACAAAAATATATAATTTAAAATGTAGTGTATATATGGATTTTATAAATGTTGCAACTACATGTTACTTTCCGTGATATTTTAGGCGAACCTAAGTTAGATGTTGTTAGCGCCTGATTATTTGATTTACAATTTAGATTTTTAGATAGAATGAATAAGAAAAGGTCTACAGTAATAAAAACAGAATGACCTAGAGTGTAGAAGGAAATCTATTTACAACATTAAAACCTTTATGTTGTAATAGTTTGGTACAGACCTGTTTATTTTAATTTCATTAGTACCTACATTGTCTAAGTTTAATATAATATCAATCATTATGCACAACATAATTATATTTAAAACCTTTAATTTGTACTTATATAACAACTTTAACAAAAATCAATATTATTTGAGAAAATTTATGACATCTTACAAAAAATACTATACTTAAGTAATTAATTACTACTTATAAATAAACAAAAATAAAACAATGAATTTATATTTATTTTCAATTAATTTTAATTAAATTCAATATAAATAATAATAATTTATATTGAAACTATAAAAAAAATTAGGTGATAGTTTTTCAGAGTACATATGAAATAAGTATTTTTTGATACAATAAATAATTTTACTGCATTAGCAATAAACGTAGAACATTATAGTTATAATTAATTTCTGCTAATTCTACGTTTGTAAATTAGCAGAAATTAATTATAACTGTTGCCAGAAATAAATTAATAACAAAATAATGTTTTCACATATATACCTGTTATTTGTTCATATTTATCTTCAAAAGTAGCTTGTTGGGAGCGGCGACAAAAAAGGGCGATATTTCCAATAATCGCGCCGGAAGAGGGGCGTTTGCGGGTGAAATGTAACATTATGAACAAATAGGGTAAAGTGGGACTAACTGGGTATGATGCCGCGTCGCCGCTCGCCGGCCGATGCGCGTGCGGCCATCGATTAGCACCTCCGCCCGGCAGCGACTGAGGAGCGTGGAAACGTAGAGTAGAGTGAAACAGAGGTAATACTTAAAATTTATTTATCTTGAAGTCTTAAAAACTTACTATTCATAATTATATGAATTATTCTTTATAAATTGACACAGTGATGTAGCTTTAATCTCCTATATTTGAAAAACTAATAACGTAGATAAGATATTAAATTTCCACATAATAACTTTAATATGTAGTAAAAAATAGTAATGTAACGATGTCAGTGGATTAGTCGTACATAGTCTTACTTTTAATGATGAAGAGTTCGATTTTCGCACGACATAAACTTTTGTATTCAACTTTAACAATGCTACTCGCATTGTTAAAGTTGAACTGGATGTTTTCTATATATATTATGTATGTATTGACAAGCGAAAAATATATTTAAGTAATTCTATTAGTTCTTTAGTACCCACAGTTCTTAGCTTGAGGCTAGATGGTGCTGTGTAAATTGTCCTGGTGTTTATAATTAGATATTATTCTAACATATATGAAACAGAATCAAACAGAAGTGAAATTATTCTTATAAACGTAATTCAGAAAAGACAAAGTCACTTATACCATTCTAAAATAGTAAACATATTTATTATTAGCTATATTGTACTATTAACATTATTCCAACTCGTAGAATTACTTACATTGTTATTTCCAACATAGTATTTGTTTCACGCGTATTAATTTTTTTTACGTCCAACACATCGCAAAATTACTTCATTATCGTCATACCTATTACGCACACAAACATTCTACTGAAACTCTATTCAAATTTCTATTCAGTGGTATGAATTATTGTTCAAATAAACAACAATAAATGTTACGATTTTACAGTTTGTTTTTGTTTTAGGTTTGCTTTATTGGGACCTTTTGCATTACGTAAATCTATTCAGCATTACATACATATCTTGGATACATACAATATTTGTAAAATGATACTTAATTATTATTATACATAGTATGTCAATTATGTTAGTAAACACTAAATAGAATAATCTGGTGCTCGAATTATTGCAATGTGATATATATTGATTGAGAATAGGTAAATATATATTTATTTTTTTGTGGATGATATATATACGCTGGCGGGGCACCAGTGGAGGATGATAAGATGAGCACGAGGACAGATCAATTGGCCCATCGTATTCACCAGGAATTTAACACGATGGTTTCTAGGGGGAACCGCGTGGATTTCGACCTAACATGGTACATTGCTAGCAATGGGGTTATCAATCCACATTACTAACAATACCCTTCCCCCGGTAAATATATATTTATGGTATCAATTTAAATGCTCAGTTATCTAATTAAATTTGTATCTATTATTTAAATAGAACCGAATATAAAAATTTTGAGGTTAGAAATTTATTTGAAAATCTATTGAAAACTAAAGTTAACAAATAATAAAATATCAAACAGGTCAGTTACTACTGTAACTGCACACATATTACATATAGATATGTAATACCTATATATTTTATCTAATCTTATTTATGTAATTGAAGCTAAAGAAGTAAATGACCTATTTGATATTATTTTATTTGTTAACCTTTGTTGATAATTGATTTTTAAATAAACTATATGTATAAATGTAGAGTGTAAAGGAAATGCTATAATATAATGATTCGTATTATAATGATATTCATCGTAAAACTTATAATAATTGACCAGAATAAACAATCATTATCTGTTAAATAACAAACTCGAGTTTGAAATTTTTAATATAGGTACGTTCTTCCGGGTCTAAATAGGAGATAATCGGATAAGTACAGGCAAAGCTGATATAAACAAATACTTGTGGACGTTTTTCTTATTAGTAAGGATATATTTCTTTATTCATTTTTGACATCAAGTGTTGACCGCTAATAAACTAATATATTGGATTGATAATGTATTATTTACTACCACTACTAAAAAATATTTGGATACCCCAAAGTAGGCACGCAATTT